TCAATCGTCTTCCTACACCAGTTCTCAATGGGCTTACACCTTTTGAAAAGCTTTTTAATAAAATTCCAGATTATAATTTTTTACGAGTTTTTGGGTGCTCCTGTTTTCCCAACTTCATCGCTGCATCTCATAATAAGCTATCACCACGTTCCACACACTGTGTTTTTCTTGGTTATGCCCCGGGATACAAGGGTTATCGCTGTCTTTCTCCATCCACGGGTCGGGTTTATGTTAGTCGGGATGTTATTTTTCATGAAAACAGTTTTCCTTATCCCATGCTAGCTAATATACCCGCTACTACTCCCACTCCCTCACCATCGATTTTACCTTTTTCTTGGAAATCATCTTCCATTAACTCTCCACCATCTTCCCAGCTGGACCCACCGAATACCCATATTCATTCCTCCGACTTGACTCATATTCCTTCCCAGGATATAACCCCGGCACCACATTCGGATATCACCCCTACTCCATCTGAACCAGCAACACCAACCACACCATCTACCCTGTCTACTTCTCCCACGTCTTCCCCCAAGATACCCACGCCTTTGGCTGCAGGCAATTCGGCATCCACGCCGGATCACCAATCTGCTGTTTCGTCCCAACCCAGCCGTGTTCCACCGCCAACCATGAATACTCATCCCATGCGTACTAGAGCCAAAGATGGCATTTTTAAACCAAAACTCATTTTAAATTTAAATACTTTTGCTCCCCCTGATGATCCCACTTGTTTTACACAGGCTAATAAGAGTGTAGTTTGGCGGGCAGCCATGGCTGATGAATTTAATGCTTTAATTGCTAATGGGACTTGGGAATTGGTACCATGGGATCCTTCTAAAAACGTGGTCGGTTGTAAGTGGATTTTTAAGACAAAATATCTTTCTGATGGGTCTATTGAACGGCATAAAGCTCGATTAGTAGCTCAGGGTTTTAAACAACAGGCTGGCATTGATTTCACTGAAACCTTTAGTCCTGTTGTCAAACCCACCACTGTGCGTCTTGTCTTGTCCGTTGCTGTTTCTTTAGGGTGGTCTGTTAGACAGCTTGATGTGAAAAATGCCTTTTTGCATGGTCATTTAACTGAAGAAGTCTATATGCGTCAACCACAAGGTTTTGTTCATCCTTCCTTTCCTACTCATGTTTGTCGGCTCCGCGAGGCTTTGTATGGTCTTAAACAAGCTCCTAGGGCCTGGTTTCATCGTTTCAGTGGTTTTTTATCGAGTCGTGGTTTTACTCAAAGTAAATCTGATTCTTCTATGTTTACATATCGTTCGCAGACCACTGTTGTTTATATTCTATTGTATGTGGATGACATTTTGATCACAGGCTCTTCTCCCTCCTTTGTTACTTCCGTAATTCACACTCTGTCTCGTCAATTTGCTATGAAGGACTTGGGAGACCTTCATTATTTTTTGGGTATACAGGCTCGCCGCACCGCTACCGGCCTTTTTCTGTCTCAGGAAAAATATGTTTCTGATCTATTACATCGGTTTCATTTACATACCGTTAAGCCGGTACGCACTCCACTTCCCTCACGCACCACTCTCTCCCTCACAGATGGGGAACTTTTATCTGATGCTACCGAGTATCGTAGCATGGTAGGGGCTCTACAGTACTTAGTTATCACCGGACCTGACATTACATATGCTGTTCATCTGGTCTCTCAGTTTATGCATGCACCACGCACTACTCACTTATTGGCTGTGAAAAGAATTTACAGGTATCTACAGGGAACCTCAGGTCATGGCCTATGGCTCAAATCCGACAGAAATATTTCTGTTATTATGGCATATTCTGATGCAGATTGGGCAGGGTGTCCTGACAGCTCGCGCTCCACTACTGGCTATGCCGTGTTTCTTGGCTCTAATTTAGTTTCTTGGCGGTCCAAGAAACAGCCCATAGTATCTAAATCATCAACAGAAGCTGAATACAGGGCCATTGCTTATACTGTTCAGGATACACTCTTTGTTCGTGCCCTCTTGGCCGATATGGGTGTTTTTATTTCCGCTCCTGTTCACCTGTACTGTGATAATGTTTCTGCATCATATTTGGCGGTAAATCCTATTCAGCATGACCGCAGTAAGCATATCAAGATTGACTATCATTTTGTTCGGGAACGCGTGGCGCATGGTGACTTGGTTGTCAAACATATTCCTACTCAGTTACAGTTAGCTGACATATTTACTAAGAATTTATCCAGTCAGCGTTTTGAGTTTTTGCGTTCCAATCTGCACGTGATTTCCCCTGCACAGATTGAGGGGGTGTAATAATGTAATTATAGGGGTTACTCTGTAATTTCCGTAAACTCTATTTTAGTATAAATATAACCTCAACGGACCCAATAGGGTACGGTATTATTTCATAAAATTCTATTGTTTGTATAAAAGTAAGCCGAAAATTACTATATTACCAAACTGCCTCTAAATATTTGCACCTTTTTATAGTCGCGTCACGACCATCACGTACATTGGATGTCCGACCCGATGTTATTATATCTTTATCCATGCATCCTTATATCATCATTAGCGCAATTCAATGCATGTGCATGCCAATATATTCTATCACTCATATTTATTTAATTTTTTTGTTGAATAATGTCAATTAACTATTCTTTTGCAACACTAATCGTAGTAAATACTGAATAGGGTGGGATTAGAGTATACGATTCGGATAATCACAGTAATAATGATGTTGCATTTATATGTTTTGGTCGTACATGAAGATTGTTGACTCACTAGTCATGTCATCATACCTCACTTGATCTTTCCCCAACATTGTGATTGCTAAATAATTTTGTTTGAAATATTTTTGGATTTCACAATACGTGGTTCTCTTTTAGTGTATTCGGAGTAGTATCGTGGTACAGTATGACAAATTATTACGGAATAGTGCTTAATACTCCGTAGTTGTTTTTTAAAATTTAAAGCTTCTTCATAAATTCCATATACTACGGGTCTGTTTGCAACAACTTCTGCTTTTAAAAAGTGCTTTTTTTAATGAAATGGGGAGAAGTGATTAAGGGTTGGTTTGCAACCACTTTTAAAAAAGCACTTCTCAGCTTTTGGCTTTAAAAAAGAACTTATTTTCCCAAACACTACAACTTTTATTTTTCTCGGCTTCCGCGTCAAAAGTGCTTTTACTTTTTCTATTACACAAAAAGCACTTATTTTACCAAACACTGCCCACTTTTACTTTTCAAAATCACTTTTTTCTCAAACACAATCAACTTTTATTTAATCACTTCTCCCCATTTCATTAAAAAAAGCACTTTTTTAAAAGCAGAAGCTGTTGCAAACAGACCCTAAATAAAAGTTGATAGTGTTTGAGAAAAAAATGATTTTGAAAAGTAAAAGTGTGTAGTGTTTCGTAAAATAAATGCTTTTTGTGTAATAGAAAAAGAAAAAGTACTTTTGACGTGGAAGCCGAGAAAAATAAAAGTTGTAGTGTTTGGGAAAATAAGTGTTTTTCTAAAGCCAAAAGCTGAGAAGTGCTTTTTTAAAAGCAGTTGTAAACCAACCCTACTAGATACGTAGTAGTACATACAAGATATTAAGTAACACTATTTCTTTTGGATACAAACTTATACCGAGTATATACGATTTATGGGAGATTCAGTTAAATATGATCAAAACATAACATTTCAAATAAAAATGAAAAAATATTTATATTAATGGGAGATCTACCCCATAAAAAATATTATATTCATGGGGTAAATGGGTAATTATCTAAATAGAGTAAATAAAAGTTTAATTATTATAAGGAATTTGATCATGAGTATTAAGTTCTGTAAATAGTAGTAAGTGACTCTCTTCATATTTTACACTTTCCATATTATAACAATTCAAGTACATCTTATCTTTATTAATAATAAAAGCGCAAAATAAGTAAATATTTTTATTTACAATAAAACTGTAAAAAATTAAATCAATACAAATACATAAAGTTAAATAATACAAAAACATAATATTGAAATTTAAAAATTTTCAAAACTTTTGACAAGCGTAAAGAACACGGCCCTAAAGCTTCGACACCTGAATTATAAAAAATTAAATTAAAACTTTAATTCTTTAGTGATGCATATGAAAATGTCGTCCCTACTTGTGATTTTTAGACAAGTTTTAGTCCTAGGGAAATTATTAAAACTTTATGTGTACACAAATTTTTAATATGTAAATGGTACACAAATATTTCTAAGCTGTTCTATAGGGACACTAGTCAATAGAGAGAAACATACTATAAAGAATTATTAAGATGTTTTTAATTGGACTGAAACTTTTTTATTTGAAAAGGTCCATTGTATGACTATTTTTCTATTTTCCATTGTATATATGATCTGATCTACTTAAGTTTGGTATGAAAATAAAATAAATTTAACTAAAACAGCTCTTAGGTACGTAGTATATATAATTGTGAGGACGAATAGATAGGAGCCAATATGAAACTGAATTCATGAATTACGAGTTGGCTTATCACCTCAACTCTTTCAGTTGAGGTCACCTTTTACGTAAAGTTGTACTCTTCAAGTTACTGGATTGATAATAATATTGATATAGCCGTGATACTAGAAGTGTAAAAGGCAAAATGTACGTCAATTTGTTTATCTAAAGATTCAAATGATTGGCCACAAGCATTTCCATTCTTCGAAAATTAATTAGAATGTCGTTTAGAACAATGAAAATATAAAACAACTGGTTATATAAATGTGTAACACATGTCAACACATGCAGTGTCCAAAAAACATTACTAAAAATACTAGGGATGGATTAATTATTTGGTTAGATATTTACCATTGATAATTAATAATTAGTTAATTAAAAAACAAGAAGGCCCAAGACCGATACCCCTAGCAACACATCTTTGGGTGGGGTCCATCGTTTACTTTTGGTTTGCCAACCGTACCCTACCAAGATGGATGGAATTGGAGAAAATATCATTTTTTTACCTCAGTCCCTCTCTAATGTACCCAACTATTTATAAGTCATAAACCCCCTCACACCCCTAGTACGTTCACTCCTGCCTTGACCCTTTTTAAGAAAACTTCCTAACCAACAACTACACGATATCATTTCAAAAGAACTTAGCAGACATTGTTTCATCCTTCAACAATGGCCCGATCACAACAACGATATCGGGGTGTTCGACAGAGGCATTGGGGTTCTTGGGTGTCCGAAATCCGCCACCCTTTGTTGTAAGTTACTCCGTATTATTTAAATTCTTACACATTCTTTTTTTTCTGAATTCGGAGTAATTGTTTGCCAATACGGTCCCGCGTCACTTACATTTGAAATTGGCCGCCTCCGAGGGGTTAACGTCTTTCGAGCATGTTTTGTCGTTCGCGATAGATTGATCAATTGTAAAGATACAAACTAGCATATAAAATCTCATGTTACTTTTGTTGTAGGATAAGAAATAATTAAGCCTTAAGTGAATGCACAAGTTAATGAATTTCTAACCCTTTATGGGGCTGTTTGGTTTGCAGGAAAACAAGAATATGGCTAGGCACATTTGAGACAGCAGAGGATGCAGCAAGAGCTTACGATGAAGCTGCAAGACTGATGTGTGGTCCAAGGGCCAGAACCAACTTTCCCTACAACCCAAACACGCCCCCACACACATCTTCATCCAAGTTACTCTCTCCTACCTTAACAGCCAAATTGCACAAATGCTACTTGGCCTCTCTTCAAATGGCTAAAACAGCCCCACAAAGTATGTCACCGCCACAAAGTATGTCGCACAATTACCCCGCCATTTCTCGGAATCTCCCCGCAGAAACCGCTTTCTGGTACCCGGAGAGAACCCCACAAATGGCAGCACCACAAGCGGTGCTGCAGCCAGTGGCAGCCACCGCGGCCTCAAACTGGGCCGCGGTTGGCGGATCGATCGGAAACTGCAAGTCAAACAACACAATGTTCATAGAGACACTTGAAGAAGATCACATTGACCAAATGATTGAGGAGCTTCTCCATTATGGGTCAATTGAGCTCTGTTCTGTCGTCGTGCCTTAAATGGCCATTCTTTCCTCAAAAAATTTAACCACTAATTTAAGGCCTTATATATACACACGAACTTGTATTTTAAATTATGATTAAGGATATAATTGTGTATGGCCAACCAAGTCCAAAGCAATATATGGGTGAATTTTTACTCTTATATTAGATCGTGTGGGGGTGCAAACATAAAATCCTCTCATTTTTACTTGTAATTAGTACAGTACAAATAGAGGATGCAAGTAGTTTATTTTTCTCTATTTCTAGCTACAATTTCGTCCCTAGTATTGGATAGTTACTTGGGTGACGTCAAGAACGATACATGTATTCACTGTAATATATTTCTTCCAACTGTTATTAAAGAAATTTCCCTAAATAATTAGGGAGTATTATTGTTGTCGTTGTTGTGGTAAATGGTACTAGTAATAATATTTATTTCCGGGATGTAAGAGGGTTCATAGTTTTGAACAGGTCTTTCTTGCAGTTGAATTTGCTAGGGGTCATATTTTGGTTTCTGCATTTGTTGGCTTGTTGCTGGGAACGGTTTAGGCGTTCAAATGTTTTAAATTGGAAATTTTCTAGAGCCCGTTTGGGGAACTCTGTTTTCGACTTATCAGGTTTATCAGCCAGCTTTTTCACCAAATACGTAACTTTTACTTTCGCGCGCTGAATTGTGTAATAAGCCGAAAAAGTAAGGTTGGAGTTACTTTTCTGGCTGTATTGGCTGAAGTTACTGTAGAGGACCATTTTAGCTATTTTTACATATAATTTTTTCTTTAATTTATTAATAAAATCTATTTTTAAAATATTTTTTTCTTAAATCAGCAGAATCAGCCAAAACAGCCACTCCAGCCAGAATATCATAAATTTCAGCAGAATCAGCCAAAACAGCCGATTTTGGTGCTACCAAACGGGCTCCTAGTATGATTTGATCTGTTTTTTGTCTAGTCTGGTTTGATCCGGTAAAGGTATGATTTTTGCGTATATTATAAATGTCCAAGTCTGGTCTAATTTTGTCTGGTCTGATTTGATCTGATTTGGTCTAATCTATTAACGAAAACAATCCAAAGTAAAAACACCTCAACTTAATTCGATTTCCCCCCTGACATACGTAGTATATATGTTGAGTGCACTAGTGCAGTTTGAGTAAGAAAAGAAATGTGTTTGAATTAGAAGCGCCTAACATACTAAGACTATGTTTGGCGTGATCATTCAGTCAATAATGAGCTGAATTCGTAAAGTCCAGCCAATTATTATGAGTCTAGCTCTGTTTGGAGAAAAGCTTGAAAGAAGCTGAAGCTGGAAAAAAGGGTCTGCATTGAAACGTTCTTTCCCCCAACGTTTCTATTCAGCCAATTGTTTAGTCGACCTTATTCCTGAATTATCCCTTCACGCCGCTTTCTTCGGTGCGCACCGCTGCACACATCACCAGATTGAGTGTTGTAATTATCCTTCCTCCTTAGTTCTCTTCTAGGCTTCTTTGTTGTATTATCCTATCATCTCTGAGGCTTTTCACTCTATCCAAGTCTTTCTCCTTTGTAAGGTATGGGTTTTAACATTTAATTATCTACTACGTAGGAGTAATGTGTTTCAAAAATCATTTGACGATTTTTTTTGGCAAAAAATAAAATTAGGAACACGACAATTATAAACGAAAATATAGTTGGAAACGTTTCATATTAATAAATCATATACCTTTAATGTAATTTCATATTATTCAGACACTTTTTCAGTTCATTTTGCCAAACGGGTCTACTTCATTTAGACAGTAATTCAGATTCAGCATTTCAAAATCCAGTTCCAGACAATGGTCCTAATTCAGACAATAACCCGTATTTCAGACATTAGCCTCCAGTTTCAGCTCGTTGTGCCAAACATAACTTAAGTACAATAAATTAGAATGATCTAAATGCATTTAGCAACGAGTGAAGAACAAGCATACCAGAATGAGATGTATTTGCCGATTAACTTTAAAAAGAAGAAAAATGGCACCTATATTACTACTAGTGTTTTCAATTCCAAAAATATGACCTCTCAATTTTCCAGAAAAGTGACATAAGAGATAATTAAGAGCCGATTAAATGATTTTCTTAATTCCTTAAATCTCTCAACGTACTCGATAACAACATAGAATGATTATCGATCATCACCAATTGCCTCCACTAACGATGCAAACAATCATGTTTGATCTGCCGCCCCACCCACTCACATTGTTGCTGCTAGCACAAATATATCATTTGCTTTAAAGTAGGCGGCATGTTTAGAGCATCTCCAATGCTATAATGTGCACGATGTACATGTGGCATGAGTGATGGCCACATAAATATTAGCAAATAAATTATCTTTCTCCTTATTTGAATGATTTTATAAAATTTTGGTAAGTTTTTCCCTGCAATGTCAACAACAATGTCAACATCTAGACGGTCTCCTTGACATTGTAGAGAAAAACTTACCAAAATTGTATAAAATCATTCAAATAAGGAGAGAAAGAATTTATTTATTAATATTTATGTGGCTATTTCTCATGCCACGTGTGCACCGTGCGCATTTTACCATTGGAGATGCTCTTAAGATGATCAGCGTAGCAATTCGTTCAGCCTCCTCAAGGCAGTGATTAGTAACTGAATTTTTTATTTTCCAATGATGAGTGAAATAATCAATTTAAATTATAATTTGGCTTTGGGATTGAATGTTTCTTCTAGCGTTTGTTTCGATCGTGAAAACTTAAACGAATCAACTAATTAGTAACTGAAATTGAAAGAAGTAAATGGAAAGATTAAAATGTATGCGCTAACGCTTAATAAATCCGAAGAAATTATGAAGTTTTTTCCCAAAGAATTATGATGTGGATGTTACAAAATTTAGACTTGTAGCTTGTAGATATTGGTGAATAAAGAATTGAAAGTATTGAAAAAATTATAAGTTTTATTTTATTTTATTTTATTTTAAATTTTTATAAATAACTAATATAATGTATGTATATTTAAAATAAATATGTATATATCTATAATTGAGATATTAATGGGCGATATGGATGCAATGGGCCCTGGGCGCAAGCCCCTTTGCCCATGTCGCAGGACCGGCCATGAAAGTGGCAAAGAACAGATACTATAATAGGTTAGAAAGAATTTCCAAAAAAACTAAGGTGGCAAAAGAAATCACTATAATACTATATTATAAAAATGCTATCACACTTCTCTTCACCTTATTAATTAAATATTCACCTTTTTTGATGGAAAAACAATGCTTAATATATCAATAAATCATTTGCCAAGTGGCTTACAATGATTTTAAGTGGAAACATAAAATTTACAAGGTTGTCAACCATAGAGAATGCTGCTTTAACGAGGTGATGGGCCACCCTATTTGCTGGTCTCCTGCACCATTTGACTAATTTTCTTGCCTCCCCCCTTGGTAAAAATTGAATGTCCTAAAAATGATACGTACTTGGGCATCATTTATCTCTCCTCTAAATTTGACAGCACCAAAGCCACATCAGTTTCAATAACCGCCTTATTCCAACCATTCTCGTTTGCCCACATAATAATAGCCTCCCTCACCCTCACCGCTTCTGCTTCCAAATGTGACCACATAGCCTTCTTCTTCCTGCATCTAGCCTGAATGAAGTTACCATCACTATTTCGACAAATCAATCCCCATGCCTAGCAACCTGTCCGAGTATGATTAATCGCATCCACGTTGATTTTGACCTAACCTTCTTCTGGCTTTCCCCATTTGATAGTTTTCGGGTCGCTCCTGGAGTTCCTCGTTGGAATTCCTTTATCTTGGGTCGCTCTCCAACTAGCTAAAACCATTGTGGCAACGCATTGAATCCCTTCCATTGGATCGCTCTCCACAAGAGCATCACTAAACTATGTAAGTCCTCCTCACCCAAACTGTTATAAACCTTCTACAAGCATTCCTAGATTGAGTCCTCTCCCAATAGTGACAACACCCCTGCACCCTCCCAAATGCCATGAACCATGTTGCATTTTATGAATAGATGCATAGTTGTCTCTTCCTCCACATTACAGGAAGGACAATGTCCTAACACTTGGACCCGCTAACTCTTCAAAACATCGCCTATTGAAAGAATAATAGTCACCATTTGCCAGAAAAATTTTTTTATTTTCGGGGGCAACCAGAATTTCCAAATAGATGTCCATCCTGTCCACTTTAGTTCCCGCCTTAGTCTCATGTAGCTACTTCGAGTGGTATATCTCCCCTTAGGATCATCATTCCATCTATATCCATCTTCTACCTGTCTAAAACTCAAAGGGATGCTTCGAATTGCACTAGCCTCCTCCTTGAGCTTTAGGTGAGCAGAGAACCTTCTAGCTTTTCCGTCGAATTACAGAACCAGTAAAATCATTGCCCCTCCACTAGTACCCATTGATTAGTCTCTCCAAGTCTAAAATCAATTCACCAGGCAAAAGGAAAACATTCATAGCATAAGAAGGTAGAGTCTGTATCACATTCTTCAACAAATTTCTCTTCCTGCTTTGAAACAAATTTATTATTCCGACTTTGTAGACTCTTAATCACCCTCTCTTTCAAGTAAGAAAAAATCTTTGTTTTCTTTCTTCCAATAATTGATGGCAACCCCAAATAATTTCTAATTGTCTCCTTCCTTATTAACCCGCAACAACTCGCTAATCTCATCATGTTTCATCCCTGCCACGTATTCACTGAAGTAGATGCTGGATTTATCAAAATTAATCATCTACCCGGACTGATTTTCATATTGCTCTAGAATCTCTTTGACAACCTGGCCTTCTTCTGTTCGGGCTCTGAAAAACAAAAAACTATCATCCGCAAATAATAAATGAGAAATATTTGGGGCTTTCCTTGCAATTGTTATTCCTTTGATGCACCCCAATGACTCTTGCTTACGGATAAGCACACTACATCCATCTGTAACAAGAATACACAGACAGGGTGACAAAAGGTCTCCCTGTCTAAGACCTCGTTGTGGAATAATAGGTCCAATGACTGAACAGTCACAAGACAAATAATATGAAACAGATGAGAGACAATCCAAGATTAAATTTATCCATTTCTCGTTGAAGCCCATGATTTCCATGATGCTTCATAAGAAAACTTCATTCCACTCTACCACTCTAACTTTAAGGCAACAAATCCTTCTCTCCCTCACCTCTTTTGTTTCAATAAATAATGAGTCTAAAAACCGAGAATAACATTACCAAGAATTGTCCGCCCCAGGACAAAAGCACTTTGGGTATCACTCATCATCTCATTAAGAAAAACCTTCAATATGTTGGCCAAGACATGGCAAAAAAACTTTTAAATAACATTGCATAATGCTATTGGCCTTGAATCTCCCATACCTGTCGGTTTTGCCTTTTTGGAATTAAAATGAGATTTGTTTTATCAACTACCGATGGCACTTTTCCT